GAAACACTGGCTTAGACAACAATGCTTCTTGCTTTGCTATATATATTTACATACAGTGTCCCGTCTCTTTTACAGTTGATGAACTGCAAACACATGGCTTGACCCGACGAAGAACGAGGTGTGTGACTGTTCTGTAATAATGGTGAGCAAGGCCCTATTTTAGGGTCCTAGAGATGAGGCTCTATAATTAGAATAGCAGAGCTGTGACTGGCGCATGTGGAAATCATTAGTTTAAGTGGACATACACAAAGGTTTCCCAGAACCTCTTTATGTTGTGTTACTCACTCACGTACAGCAAGCTGACAGGAAGCCAAGAGGAACAGAAACAGGAAGACAGAGGGCAGACTTCTCTCCAACTCTGTGTGAGTGTGTGCTGTGCAACCAGCACTTATAAATGTATGTGAATACGTAAGCTTTGATGAAGCCTCCATTGTCCTTAAAGTACAGATTTGTTTGTGTGCTTTTGGGCGCTTACATGGAGCATCAGTCAAGTTCTGTGATAAGACCACAGAGACACTAGACAATCAATCAAGTCATCACTGGAGCTCAGAACAAGCATCAGTAAATCAGGCTGGTTTCTGTGATCGATAGCACTTAGACAACACAGAATTACAGTGAGGTTAAATCGGTTTGTGGTGTCCACACAAATGGTGCTCACATCTGGCGTGTCCTAAAGTTTAATATTCACACGTTCATGTAAACTTACACAGTGCCCACTTTTGCCACTTCACCTGCCAAAAAAATGCACAGGTGGTCTTAAATATTTCTTACCAATCATGAAACTGTATTCAACATTTTTTTTCCATTTTACTGTCGTTACATGGAGCTCTTAAATAAAACTATAAAGGTACATATTTCACAAGGTTAGACTAACATTTTACAGTTCAATTAAACCTAGCAATGTTGCAGTTCCTAATAAAGTTACCAACCAACTGGTGAGGAAATACATTCCATTTACTTGCCAAATCCCATTTTTACTTGCATTTTGGCACTTGGTGAGAGTTCATTTTGATCCCTCTTCACACACCAGTGGGCTGCTGGGAAGAATCAACAGATGGAGGGATGAGGTGAGTCAGTGTGTGTGGAGGGAGAAAGAGACTGAAGAGCTGTTTAACATCATTTCAGTCATGTGAATTGCTGACAAAATTACTGGCTCAGCGTTCTTATAACATTTTCAGCTTTTTTGGCAACCACTGGGTCTTATTCACTTACCACAAACAGAGCGATTCGTTCTAATTCCATCGAATTTCAATTTACGCAAGAATGGCTTTAAAAACGATTTACACTAAAATTAGTTCTTGTATGTTTAATCAATGAAGCCCATTGTATAGAAAAAAAGTTTTTAATAAAATACTGAGCATTAAATTTGACTTCTTTATCCGATTAATCAATACGGAGCATTAAATTTAGAATTTTTATCCGATTGATCAAACAAGAATCTGAATCTGAAACTGATTAAGAATATAATCAGTTAATCAACATTAACTGATAGTCAAAATAGTTGTCAGTTTCAGTTAGTTCTAGTTTTTTTGGTAACACGTTACAATAGCGATCAATTAATTGACAGTTATTAGTGCATTAGATATACACATTACTGTAGATATTAGATATATCTAGATATTAGATACACACATGCTATTATTCAAAAGTTTGAAGCTGGTTAAGATTTTTTTAATGTTTTTGAAAGACGTCTCACCAAGGCTGAATTTATTTGATCAAAAGAATAAAATATTGTTACAATTAGGGCTGGGTAAAAAATATCGATATCTCGATATTGATCGATTCTCATTTTTACAGAACGATATCGATTCGTCTAGCCTTTTTTTCAGTTAATGGACGGAACATTGAAGGGCACTTCCCATCCAATATATCGCAATAAGCATTGTGCTTTGGTACTTTTAATATGAAACAAAGTCTCAGATTTCAAATTATGTCCATTGTATTGCAGTATTCAAACAATAAATGCCGTTTTGGCGCTGTTTAATGTGGAGTGACAGATCGCTGTAGTGCCTCAGTTCAAAAGACGCGGCAGCGCATAGCGCACGTGAACTGATCATCTCCTCCAGATTTAATACCAGTGTCAGCACAAAATAAACATGACTAAACATCCGAAGGTAAGTTAAAAGAAAGAGTACAACTTTACAATCCGTATTCTGGCTCATGTAATCGCTCAATTAGTGTTTCAGCCGCGCAAAGACGTCAATATAACGTCTTGTAAACAATGTCACGTAACGTCACATTTACCTCAGAAAAAACATATTTGGTGACCATAAACTCATTAGTCAGATAGAAAAATAAACTGTAGAGAGGGAAATTTTTGCTAAATATATGCACCGTATAACATATTCATTATAAATTTTACTGTTCTTCAATGTTTAATTTATGTTTGAATAAATCCATCAAGTTTTTATGACAGCCACCATTATGTTTATATTAAAAAAACATGACACATGAAATTTGTGTCAAAACCCATCCCTAGTTACAATGTTAAATAACTGTTTTCTATTCTACTACATTTAAATGTAATTTATTCCTGTGATGGCAAAGCTGAATTTTCAGCACCCATTACTCCAGTCTTCAGTGTCACATGATCCTTTACAAATTATTCTATGCTCAAGAAACATTTCTTATTATTATCAATGTTGACCGCAGATGTGCTGCCTAATATTTTTGTCTTAATGTGACATGTTTTTTCAGGAAGTTGAAAGAAACAACATTTATTTGAGATTGACTTATTTTGTAACCATGTAAATGTCTCTACTTTCACATTTGATCCATTTTGATTTAGATTTAGAATGGTGGTGTATACTAATATATTTTTATCACTTAACAATATGCACAATTTAGTATTAATGTATTATAAACAAACAAATTAACAATGAATAATATTTATCATGTTTATAAACAAAGCGTAGAAATTAACGGTAACCTAGAAGTTTTTTTTTCTTTAATTTTTTAATGCCATGTCAGCTTCTATGGCTATGTTCATGGCGAGAGCCAGGTTTAGTTATTCAAAATTAAAACCAAATAAGATGTTTAAGATTCATTTTTTTCAAAAAAGATTTGGATTTACTCCATTAAAAACCTTTTCAAAAGTATCAACAGTATAAAAACAAGTTTCTCACAGGAGTAGAAGTATTACAGTCTAGCAAAATATGTTTAATGGACAGTGGATTTTGACGAGATGGACAATTTGGGGAATTTTCTACTGATAGTAAAAATTTGTGTGTAAGTCTTGAGTGTCCAAACCAACATCGTGTGTAAATGACTCGATCCCAGCAATTATTGAAATGGAATGTTTTTTCCCAACATCAAGTTTTCTTTCATGTAATTTTAACCTAGAAAAATAAATGCTGTAAAAAAAAAAATGTTGTTCATCATTACTTTGTGATAACTAATGCTTTAAATATTAACCTTTACTGTAAAGTAGGGATGTAACGGTATGAAAATTTCTTATCACGATTATAGTGGCCAAAATTATCACGGTTATCAGTATTATCACAGTATTGTTAAAATGTGCTGTAGATGTTCAAAAAGTACGTTTTGAACAAAAAGTTTTATATTTAAAAATCAACAAACAACAAATAAAATGAAAAGGTTTCCATTTTCCATAATAAGGGTTACCATTTTTCCCACTGCTCCGGGTGTGTGTGTGTTCACTACTCACTGCTGTGTGAGTGCACTTGGATGGGTTAAATGCAGAGCACAAATTCCAAGTCTGGGACATCATACTTGGCTATATGTCACGTCATTTTCACTTTCTTTCATTTTTAATTATGCCAACCAGAGTTAAAGAGTAAGATCTGTGCATAAGGAAAGGGCAGGAGACAAAATGCAGGAGAAGGAAGAAGCGTGTGTATTACCATTGTCAGCAGTTCTGCATTGAGGCGCAGTATGACACTGTTAAGTAAAGAAACAGAGAGCCACTGTGCCTGTGTGTGAGAGAGCGCCACAGTGCTGACTCAAGCCCTCTAACCTCAAATCACACAAAAGAGGCTTAAAGGAAGAGAAGGGAAGCGAGTGAATATTGGAGACAGGTACCCTTTGTGTTTAGGCTCCTGCAGTGCCTGGTTTAAGCGGGAACCCTGCTGTGTTGGAGCAAAACAGCCATTGGAATTTGAAGAGGCCTGATTTAAAGTCACACTGACTGAACAATGATATGCAAGCACTTAAGCCATCAAAATCAAAACCAGACACGGACAGCTTAGCAGAGGCCGAGTGAATATAGAGTGTTTTTAGCGTCGACATTAAGTGACAGTTGTTTGGATGATAAAGGGATGAGAGAGGTGGGGTTCAAGTTGCTTTCCTGCTCCGCAAGCCAACGCCCCATACTGTATATCCTGTGCAGGGAAAAATATGACTTCCTGTTCAGCAAACATTCACAGTCTCAGAGGACAGACAAGAGTGTCGGTCCAAAATAACCCTATGTAAGGAGGGGTGAAGACCCCGAGGAAGATCACAACAATGATTAACTCTTAAACATACACAAACTCTACAGATGTCCTGTCTGGACTACAGTGGCCATTTCTGATTGGTTTAGTAGAACATTAGAGGAAATACAACCCGCATACACACATCTGTGCACACTGCGGGTGAAACATATTTGTGTGTCATCGCTGGTTTTCCCTACAGGCAGATATGGAATTATAGAGGATCAAAGACTCGGTATCATAGCTGTCAGAGATCAATGACACGTCTGACATTCCCTCTAGCCCTGCAAACACACACAGACGTCTCCATCCATTTACCAGCACCAACCACACTGAAGGAGATCACATCTAATTACTGTAATATAACAACATCAATAACAAAGAATTAATTATAGTCTAAGCGCTAATGAGTTTTTCACTTCTGCGTCAGTGAAACACAAAACAGAACCATTAAAAACCACTTTGTTTCATTAATTAACTGACACAATGGTTGTAAACTGTAATTTCGCATATACTGAGAAGGATCAGAACAACAAAACGCAGGACTAAAGGGATGCACTGGGGTGGTACCTGGATGCAGATGAGAGCGATACGGATGGCTGTGGCTCAGAGGACTCTGCTTTCTCCTTCAGCACCTTATCCTCCTTCAGAAAACTCTTGGCCTCTCGTGAGTCTGCGTCCACCTCTTTGGTGACCCTGCGGACCACAACAAAAGATATAATGCTCAAAATACTCACTGGGCATTTAAAAATTTTCAAAAACAAAAAATACACAACAGTTAAATATATATATATATATATATATATATATACACAAGAAATTAATACTTATATTCATCAAGGATGCATTACACTGATGAAACGTTACAGTAAAGGCATTTATTATGTTACAAAAGATTTTTGTATTTTGAGCTTTCTAATTCAATCAAAGAATCCACAAATATCAAATATCCACAATTGTTTTCAACATTGATAATAATAAATGTTTCTTGAGCACCAAATCCGCATATTAGAATGATTTCTGAAGGATGTGTGTGATACTGGAGTAATTAATGATGGAAATTCAGCATTGCCATCACAAGAATAAACTACATTTTAAATTACATTAAATAGAAAACAGTTATTTTAAAAAGGTAATAATATTTGACAAAAATCACTTTTACTTTTTCACTGTAGAGTATTCTTTTCCCAAAAAAGTATTTAGACACGTAAGTCACACTTTAAAACGTACATATCAAAACACCAAAAATGGAAATTAAGAAATATAGCAAAAAAAAAAAAAACATATTATAGGCAAAACATAAAAAAATATGTTAGGCCTTAAATTATCCAACAATTGATATATAATAAGAAATAATGATATATAATGGAAATAAAAGTATTTAAAGAAGTATTTTCTGGTTGTCAAACATTAATGAACCTACACCTGGCTTCATTTGTTTGCAGATGGCACTAGATTTAATTTTTTTTGTAATTTATGCAGCGAAATTCATTCAATTTTAAGCATCAAATAATGTCCAAATATTTTTGGGGTCACTGTATTGTGATTCATATTAACGTTTGTGTTCAAAGCTTGTCAGTGCTTTGTGCTTGGCAGGATTTGAATATTTTACTGGCTCATAAACACAATGTACTGGAATTAATTTTTGAAAAGCAGCAATAATATGCTAGACAAGCTAAGATGTGACGACAGCATCGTAATTAACTATAAAATGACAGCATTCACTGAAATGGCCCAAATATTATATATTATTATATATTAATATTATATATAAATATTATCTATACGTTTTTTTCTTTATTAATAACATGCACATGCATAAATAATAAATAAACTTCCTATTTGCACAAACCACCGTTTTTCTGAAGCATTGTTTAGGGAATGTTCAGCACTCCATCTAATTCCTGAACGCGTGCTGCCATCTGGTGGCCATATAAAAGTATTACAGTTACACAAAACAGTTCCACTTACCGAACTTCTTCTCCTGCAAAATCAAACACCTTGGTGATTGTGATTTTGGAGGATTCTTTTGGTTTGTCCTCCTGCTGCTGAGACGCTGTCAAGGGTTTATTGGGCATATCTGTACCAGTCGTAGATGTGGACTATAAGAAATACAAACAAAAACATAAACATTAATCTAAGAGACAATTAAATAAAACAAGCACAGAACACATCAAATTCAAATGAAATTTCATTTTATGAATTTAAATTATGAAAAAATATGTAATGCCTTCTGACTGTAGTAGCATGACTACCAAGACACTGAACCAAAAACACAAAACCACCCCAAAATGTGTCACATCAGCCTAAATGGAGCCCAGACAGAAAATGAATGTTAGTACATGAAAATTTAAAACAATAAATTGTCTTACTTTACTTCATTTTCTTGCGTTGATGGTTACCTGCTGAGAGTCTGTACTTGGAGCTGCTGCTTTGGGTTGAGGGCCAACATCACTCAAAAAACTAGCCCAAAGATCATCTGCTTTCTTCTTATGTTTCTCTTCAATGTCCTCTTGTGACTCAGTTACAAAATGATCCTCTTTTGACTTATCTTCACATTTCTGTTGGTCTGCTGAACCACCTTCATCATCTTCTTCTAGTTTGAGTCCTCCTTTTTTCCTTTTCCTTTGTAAATATGGAGAAAGTGAGAACATTTTCCCTTACAATCAGTTTTACATGGGTTTAAAACATACATCAGCAATATGATACCTCATAGGAATGTTTGCTTTAGTTTTCTTCTTTACTTGCTCTGACTGCTGCGTGTCGTGACCCTCCACCTCCAGTGCATCCTCCTTCTCACATTCATTCATGTCATCCTCGCTCAGGTTATCATCTGATCAATTCAAGAAAAAAATGAAACCAATGTGAATGGATCATATTTATGACATTAAAGGCAGAGTAAGTGATTTCTGGTAGCCAATGTTGATATTTGAAATCACCAAAACAAACACGCCCCTACCCCAAAAGGGTCTTGCCCCTATTTTGATAGCTCCGCCCCACATATACGTACGCAACCCAGGCAACGATTAGTTCTGTGAAACAAAGCAAAACCAATGTTACACCGTGTCTACGGACGTGAGCGGCGCGGCGCAACAAATCCCCGACAGAAAACTGCTGCCGGGTTCTATTTATGACGTGCTGACACAAATTTCAAATGGTTTTCAACGGTCGTTTGACCTCTTTCTCGCGTCCAGTGTAGGCAGACTTTAGTTGTTGTAGACACGGTGTTACTCACCTATTGAGAAGAAACAAAGCAACCTCGGCGTCCGATCGTAGGCCTCCGCTCCTTGAGTTCTCTCCCGCGCTGGAAAGCTGATCCGATATTTACACGGGTCCTACTTCTTGCCTTGTCGTTCCGCAGACGTTTTCCTCTTTTGTTTTTTATCCGCCATCTCTATCTTTCTGTCGCTCGGCTCGGCTAATGTCCGTCCCATGCACTGAAAGCTCTCTCCTCCACATCACGAGTAGACACGCCCCTTATTGCTGATTGGCTACAAGTTTGTTTTGCTATTCGGCCCGAATCAGTTTTCTAAAGTGTTTTTGAAAAATCACATACCCTGCCTTTAAGACAAAATGAACACAGCAGCTGACAAACCAAATTATGATGCATTTCTGCCTAATTTTTTCTACGAGTTGCTGAAGCACTGTTGGCTGAAGAGAAGAAACTTTAAATACTACTAAAATTGCCTGTTGTCACTTTCAATAACTTAAAAGTAAACAATATATTTTAAAATTCTTAGAAGCAGTATAATGTGTAGTGGCAGGTTTTCTCATTCTTTGACCTTAAGTCCTCTACTAGTGAAAATCTTTCTCATATTTTAAATTATGAAAAGTGAACATTTAAAGGCAGAATGTCCTCTCTTCTAGTCCTATAATTTTGCCTCTCAGTACCAGTTCCACCCACTAAAGAGCCCTAATCCAGTTCATGATATAAATCAATTTATTGTCCTTCTAAGATAAAGACCATGAAAGATATGGTGTTCATTTGCAACACATACAGGACAATAAAAAACTAGCAGGGGTCTTGGTGAATTATATCAGTAATTGTTTGCTTCGTTGTCATCAGTCTCACAGCTAAATTAACCTATTTCAGAAAAGAGTAAGTTAACATATTAATTATTGCTTGGATCTGATCACATGAAACACTTATGATATTCAAATGGATTCTGAATAAATATACCATATATACATTCTAGAAAATACAGGGATAATAGATTTATATGTTGTAGATATTAGCTATGATAATTGTTTTTGCATAGCACATCATAAATGTAAAAAACAAAATGTATAATGTCAAAATGGGGCACTATATGTTTACATATACAGAGCACAAACGAGTTAGCTTACAGTAGCTACAGTACATCTGAGCTCTTGCTTATATACAACCATGCTAACTTCATGCTAAAATCTCTTACCAGAAGGGACGTAGTCTTCATCTTCATTTGAAGAATAACCATCCGAGTCGTAATCCGAATAATTCATCTTTATTTCTCTGTGTGATGCGCTGTATTAGCTGCTAAATCAGACAAAGACTCCAATAACAACTACATGAAACCAAAAGATGAAACGCTGTAGCTAACCAGCTAGCTTGGAGCTAACGTGCAATTGCCTTACTAGAAGCCCAGCATGTTAGCTTGCTAGCATCATCTGATCTATAAAAGCTTCATCTAGTTACCTCCATTCAGAACTGTCGTTTCTTTTCAGCTTCAAGTTCTTTGCAAGATTGTACCAACTTTGAGCTAAAAAAAAAACAATGACAGAAATATTTATTAACAACAACACCAATAATAAACTGTGTTATTATTACTGAAAGTAATTACAGGTAAAATATTATTAAAACTAATTATAACAAAATATAATATACAGACTGAAATATTTTTCTGCCTTCCTGACTCTTCTATTCTATTACAATTTCTTTCTTTTTATTATTATTATTATTATTATTATTATATACATTTTCACATACCAACCTTGTGCTAAATACAGTGACAGAAAATATTTTTTAAAATATGAATTAACAACAACAATAAACTGTTGTTGTTATTATTGTTACTGAAAGTAATTACTGGTATAATATAATTATAAGTAATAACAAGATTATAAGTAATAACAAAATAATATACAGACTGAAATACGGTCAAGAATGGATTTATATTCTGCCTTCCTGGCTCTACTATTCCTTTTTTTTTTTATAATATATAAATTTTCACATACCAACTTTGTGCTAAATACAGTGACAGAAAATATTCTTTAAATATTTATTAAAAACAATAGCAACAATGATAAACCGGGTTATTATTATTATTATTAAAGCTAATTAAATTGGATCTCTTTACCAACCTTGTGCTAAAAACAGTGGAAAATATTTGAAAAATATTTATTTACAACTATAAACGGGATTATTATTATGGACAGACCACAACATAAGATGTAAATAAAATAAAATCATAAAAACAACAACTTATTTTCAATTTATTAATTTCAGCTTAAACTTTCACATTCTATCCATATGACATGCGAATCGGTTTTTACGGATACCAAGAAGGGGCAGATGCTACAAACCGTACAGGCCCCGCCCATAAGCCTGTAGCAAATCGCAGGTGACAGAAAGATTATCTCAAACCCGACACAGTTGTGGTAGTTAAACCTATATATTTTTCTCGGTTTTTGAACGGCGTTATAGTGCACTGGTAGATTGACGAAAGTAAACCCGCGCACTCATCGCGTTTCCGCAGTTCAAAAAATGGACGCTCATGCAGATGGATGAGCATCTGTGCTAAAAACAAACGCTCAGCTCAAGCCCACATTCCTTTTCTAATGCTGTTATTCGGATTTGACACTTTCTGGAAATATGATGTTAAATATTTAATTTAATATTACAGGGTTGTATTATAACTAATGACACTTCACCATTAACAAACAGTCTTAATTTCCACAATGTCAGTCATTGCAGTCTTTTCTAAGGTTTGGTGGGAGATGTTTACATCACGGGTGTAGGAAGGACTTTTGGCTGATCTTCAGGCTTTGAATGTGATGTATTGCTTTGGCAGAGATGTGGTATGGGGTGTTCCTGTGGGCTGTTGTCTCCTCATTGGTGTTCCACCTGCCTGCTGCCCTCCTGGCTCTGGCAACCCTCCGCAGACATAAGATGGCACGATTTTTCCCAATCGGCATCCTGCTCATGGGCATCATCGGTCCGCTGTTTGGAGGGGTTCTCACTAGTATGTAGCCTGTTTTTTTTTTTTTTCCTAGGTCTAGTTACATCTGAAATATGTCATAATGTAGGCTATATGAAATGCATCTAGACCAGGGTTGTCCAATCCAGCTATTGAAGGGCCACTGTCCTGCAGAGTTTAGCTCTGAGCCCAATTAAATCCACCTGAGCCAAAGTAATCAACGTCTTCAGATTACATTCAGACTACATTCTTCCAGGTGAAGTGAAGTGACGTGTGGCCAAGTATGATGACCCATACTCGGAATTTGTGCTCTGCATTTAACCCATCCAAGTGCGTACACACAGTAGTGAACACACACCCGGAGCAGTGGGCAGCCATATTGCTGCCGTGCCCGGGGAGTGGTTTGGTGCCTTGCTCAAGGGTCTCACCTCAGTCATGGTATTGAGGGTGGAAGAGAGCACTGTACATTCAATCCCTGCCGGACCTGAGACTCGAACTCGCAACATTCAGTTTACAAGTCCAACTCTGTATCCATTAGGCCACAACTGCCCCCTATGTTGGGGCAAGTTGGAGCTAAATTCTGCAGGACGTTGGTCCTCCAGGAACAGGATTGGACACCGCTGATCTAGACATACAAAATGTTGGTATTTAATCATTTATTGTGACATTTAATGATTAAATATTCACTAAATATTTTACTTGTACTATATATATATATATATATATATATATATATGTCACCCTATGTCTGTCTATCCCTCTATTTATATGTCAATCCATCCATCTGTATACATGTCAGTCTGTTTGACCATCTATGTGTCTATCTGTCTACCCATCTACCCATTACTTCATCCCGTTATATGTCGCAGACACTGTTATTTTTAGTAGTGAAAGCTCATGTGGAAAGATAAAACAGAGTTATTATAGAATGTACAAAATTATAATATCAGAATCTGAAACCCAAGTTTATGTACAGAAGTATATAAAATAAGATGCTTAAGTTACAAAAAAATGTGTACTCACACATGTAGATGTTCTCCCTATTTTCTTCAACTACATTATCAGCAAGAGTGTAAAAAAAGTGTAATTCTGAAACGGATATGAATATGATCTTAACACAAAATAGCAGAGTTTTTAGATTTATCTGAGGAATTAGCCTGAGATCTAAACCAAACTTATTTCTCAAATATTAGTTTCACATTTCTTCAGCATAAGCATTTGTAGACTTGTGTTCTCCCATATTACAAGCCCTCAGGAAGTTCTTGTGTTCTGGAAGTTTCATTCAAATCTCTTGTGGTGTGAGTTAATGTAAATCAGACTCATCTTTTCTGATTGGAGCGCTAACATTAGTGGGATGCACTGAAAGCTATGCTTTATTCGTCTGAGCCTATGGTCTCTCAATTGCACAAATGGAATTATTTTTCTAAAGTCCAATCATTCATGGTGGAGTGACTGCTCATTGTTTTTGTGGTTTGTCTTTGATTGTATGGTCTTCTTGAGAAATGGATTTACTCTTTACAATGTGATATTTTCAGTTTGTTTTTTTCTGGGCAAGTTTAATTTTCTTATCGTATAATAAGTGCCAATTGCTAGTATTTTCATGAAATAAAATAGTTTAGATTATGATAACACCACCTTGTTTTGCTATTGTGATTTGCATGCTGTCCTGCGGTTTGGGGTGTAATATGTTGCCCAGGACGCTAAATGTGTGCCTCAGACATGAAAATAACAGCTGAAAGAGTAGTAAAAACAATTTGGTTGTATTCCAAGTGGAGGGTGGTTTACTCTCACCACTCTCATCTGTGGTTTAGTGCAGCTTCTGTGTTCTCTAGCACTTCCACGGTCACAGATGGCTCTCCTGTGTTCCATTAACATTCACCAGCCAAATCTGCACAACTGCCACATGCTGCGTACTGTAGGGAGTAACATGCTGTAGAAACACACGTGGAATGATGACTCAAATCATGTGGGCTTTTCTGCTAACAGAGGCCTGGTTAAACTGGAATAAAAGGATATTATAATAAGTGTAGAACAGTATTTTTGAATACAGGAGAACCGTTACCATAACTGGTTTGGAAACACTGATTTTAGTGTTATTAGTTTGCATAATTACCTTAAATATAAGGGGGGGGGCTGTCATACATGACAAACATTTGGCTGGTGTTTGTCATGTATGACCCGAAAGAACAACCAAAATGAGTGTAATTTGTAATCTCAAAAATGACTGCATAATTCTAAATCCCTTTCATTTTTAGCCATTGTTGATAAAGTTTACTTTGCAATATCAGGCTTAAAGCTATTTCATAAAATGGAATCTTAAATATACTTGCAGTATAGGATGCAATACACGTTTTAAATAAGAAAAGTGCACCACAAACATATGCAGGGAGCTAAAAAGCTCTGTGCCAATAACAGTTCATATTTAGAGGTGCTTCTGGGTGACTGCAGAAAGTCTTTTTCTTTTTACATGTTGTAATGTATTTATAGAAACTGTATGTAAGTGTTAACCTTAAAATATCAGTGTCAAAATAATTCTGATGGTACGCTGACTTCTAATAAGGCGAAAGGCTTCTGTTTCTTTCCTATGATCCCCCAAACGTCTGTTCCGTGAGTATGTAAGCAAAGGAGCTTCAAGTCAATAATAAGGTCCTCTCCGTTAAATATAGGGGGCTCCAAAGTCCCAAACTATTTCATAAGATGGAATCTTAAATATACTTGCAGTATAGGATGCAATACACGTTTTAAATAAGAAAAGTGCACCACAAACATATGCAGGGAGCTAAAAAGCTCTGTGCCAATAACAGTTCATATCTAGACGTGCTTCTGGGTGACTGCAGAAAGTCTTTTTCTTTTTACATGTAATGTATTTATAGAAACTGTATGTAAGTGTTAACCTTAAAATATCAGTGTCAAAATAATTCTGATGGTACGCTGACTTCTAATAAGGCGAAAGGCTTCTGTTTCTTTCCTATGATCCCCCAAACGTCTGTTCCGTGAGTATGTAAGCAAAGGAGCTTCAAGTCAATAATAAGGTCCTCTCCGTTAAATATAGGGGGCTCCAAAGTCCCAAAATTCACAAAACTACATACATTTTAAAGGGATAGTTCACGCAAAAATGAAAATTCTGTCTTCATTTACTCACATTCAAGTTATTTCAAACCTGTATAAATTACTTCTGTTGAACATAAAATAACATATTTTTAAGTAATGTTGGTTATCAAACTGTTGACGGTAACCATGACTTTCATAGTATGTAAAAAGAAATACTATGGAAGTCAATAGTTACCGTCAACTGTTGTTTGTTTTTTTACCAACATTCTTAAAAATATGTTCCGTTCAACAGAAGAGAGAAACTCATACAAGTTTAGCACGCAACATTTGGGTGAACTATCCATTTAAGTTTAATCAAATCCCTACTAAGCATTTTATTGCCAAACTTCTTCCGAGTTGAGCCAG